GTTGTCTGGCTGGGCCGCCTTTGACGGCGAGGAGGTGCTCAGTTGGGACCAGTATAAATGGAGATACAGAGAAAATTACAGTGGATGGCTTTGGCGGTTAGAACAGGACATAGCATGAACTGGCTTGATGGTATGTTGGATTACGCTTCTGATTCTCAATATTGAAGGTGATTATTTATTGAGTTTCTTGGTACTGTTACCAATATTAAGTATGTAAGTATGACTGCCTTCTCTATTGATTGCAGGGTATGAGCAGGGGATAAGTGGTGTAGCTTGAATGTCTGCACTATGTCAACATTGTATGACTCATGTGAGATTAAATAGGGGGGGGGCATAATATCCCCTTAGCTATATGGGAGTATGCTTCCCTTATGTTGCGTAACTAGTTTAAATATCGTATAGAAGATTATTTTGTGTATATATACTCTTCATTGGCAGGTCCCCCACTCTTCATACCGGTCCCCACACCTGTCTTGATGTCCACTAGCTTGCCTACTTTACTTCTCTTTACCATCTATGCCATATGTTTTTATATACCAATGTAAGAGATTATATAGCCATTTCCAATATAGAAGACAAAAGTTATATATCTATATGTGATGACTAATATCTTGTACTTTTTCATCTGTTTAGAGAATTATATTTAAGCTGCTGAAGAAGCGATTTTCACTGCAAAACATGTTGAGCTGTACAATGAGTGATCTTCAGAACCCAGATTGGATGGAATATATATAAGTGGAATCCCCACTGTCTACGAGGGGCTGTTGTTGCATATGCTTATTGTCTCCCCCTATAAAATTAGAAAAAAGGTCAGCGCTCAGTGATAGTGATTAGCTGCTAGCAAAAAGCGTTCATACACAAAAACACCAAAATAGTTCAAAATACAATGTTTTAAGCTCTGCAAACCATTATTGTATTACCCGCTGGACTTGATTGGCTTCTTAATGTTGAAAAATATGATTGTTTATGTATTTTAACATTGCCATAGCTCCTGTTGCTGTCAGTCAAAACCTGTGAAGAGAGTGAGAGGCTGAGCCAGGCTATGTGTGTCTGAATAGACGCAACAGCTTGGCTCAGGATGAGCATGCAAGACTAGCCCTGTAGGAAGCAACTTCCAATTACAGCACTTGGTGTGGGGGCAGGAGCCAGGAGAGCACCATTGGGAGACCCGAAAAGAGGAAGACCAGGGATGCTCTGTGCAAAACCATTGCACAGAGCAAGTAAGTATGACATGTCTATTATTTTAATTTAAAAAAATAATAATTTTGCCACATTTTTGGAAAATGAAGAAAGAAAATTATTTTTTACACAAAGTTGTCATTATTAAGACATTTCTAACATACAGTATGGTCAAACTAAGAATTATACCACAAAAATATTTTGTTACTCCTAAGTATGGGGATACCACATATGTGGGAACAGCTCCAAAGAGAGACCCAAAGTCCAAGAAGCACCATCAGGTTTTCAAGGCGCATAATTTATGCATCTAATTTAATGACTGTATATCACATTTATGGAAACTGTGAAGTGCCAGGATAGTATAAACACCCCAAAAGTTATCATATTTTGGAAAGCAAACACATCAAGGATAAAAAATATAGTTTTTATTTATTTATTTTTTACACAAAGTTGTCAAATAATAAGATAGTTCTAACAGACAGCAAAGGCATAATTAGAATTACATGCCAAATGCATTATGCAACTCTTGCGGAGTACGTGGATACATACCTATAGGCATAGAAGGGAACAAAATTCAAGGAGCACAATCCAGCTTTCAAGAGGCATAAATTACACATATAATTTCCTTATGACCTGTGACATTTTTGTAGGCCCTGGAGCGCAGGACTACATTTTAGAAAGCAAGCACCTGAAGATATTTTGTAGGAGGCATAGTGAGTCTTTTAAAGATTTCATTTTTTGCTATGTAGCACTACCCCAGCAGAGGATTATTAAACTTGTTCAAAAGAGTAGGCCACCAAAATAATGGATTTAGGATATACAACACCAGTTAACACATAAAAGCAGAGCACTGGTTAAATAGAAATGTTCAATTAGCAACGTTTAACAGATTTTACAGTCATGAGTAGTAAGCTTCAACCATTTAATTGCAACACCAACAGCAAGGGGGAAAGAAAAGGCTTGTTGATTTGTCAGCTCCCTCCAGACCACCACCACAATGAGGAATGCACAGAATTATGTAAATGTATACTAGGCTATGAATAGATATAAGTACCCCAATTTGAATAGCAATGGCCTTAAAAGAGAAAAGGTCCCTTTAATTAGAGATTGCAGCTTGAGTCTTGTGATGTTTAAAGTTCTTGATATGGTGGTAATCATTTGTTTTCTGCTAGCAATGGTGGAGCCCATAAACATTAGTGAACACTGGAAATTCAATGAAATTAAACAAATAGACTGTCATGTACCTGAGAGGAGACTGAATTTATGAGGTCAGCCTCTCTTATCTCCAACCCAGGCCCCAGTAGACTGGTGGACCATCAGGTGAGGAACACTAGCTGTGTTCAGTAGTCCAACAGAGATTAAAGGGGCACTCTACTTGTGCTGTAGGCCCTGGAACTGGTGACAAGTCAAGAGCAGAAACCGAGATCGGGTCAGGAGTCAGCAAGCCAGGTCAGCAAGGGAACACACTGGATGAACACAGGACACAAGGAACAGCTGAAGCCCAGTCAACACTTGAGTATGGGCAGGAGCATCCTTAAATAGCATGTCTTGCGCCAATATGCACTGAGCATGCGCCCGTGCGCATTTCTGTGCACATGTATGCACCTGGCTTCCTTTCTGTGAAGAATGCTGCATGCATGCGCATTTCTGTGAGCCAGACATCTCACAGGAAGTCCCTGACGTAGACTGTGGCACTGCTCAAAGCAAAGATCTCCTGGTACTGAGCTGTTAAGGTGTCTACATGCAGTGTCTCTAGAGTGATGACAGAAAGAGGTTGGCATCTGCCCACTCACCAATTCTATGGACAGCACGGCCTCCTAGGAACAGAGTTCTTACTCAGGCTTTTCGCTGGTTGCAGGGATGTGGGAGTTACCGCCTGACGGCCTGTCAGTGCGGCGAGCAGAGATGTCTGTGTGAAGACCAGACAGTGACAGTTGCAGAGATGCTGGTGCAATCCCAGTGTGGCGATCAGTGTAATCGCTGTGCTGAAGTGATGTGCACAGTCCCGCAACAGTAGACCAGCAGTCTAGAATGGCAGTCCCCGTGTGTTCAGCTCTGAATCCTGCACCCAAGAAAGAGAGCCTGTCCCTTGCTGTAGAGTAGTATATCTGCTTTCCCAGCATCCTGCTCATTCACCAGCTCTCTGGTAGTTGTAGTTCAATCAGCACTAAGGAATAAAGGATATTTTGGCTGTAGGACTACAGGTCCCAGGATCCTCTGCTGTCAGAAAAACTGAATCCACTCTTCTAACAGGAAGCGATGTAGCAGTCTCAGTACTGGGCACAGGGGGGGAAAGGGTAAAAATGTATGTTTTTACACAAAGTTGTCAGTTTAAAAAATTGTTTCCCACACACAGCATTGGTATACTTTGAATTACACCCCAAAACGCATTCTGACGACACAGTAGAATGAAACCACATGTGTAAGACATTTTCAATATCTGGCTTGTTTGGGTGCCTGAAATTGCATCTTCAGTATCACAAAAAGTAACCAACATTGCATAAAAAACAATGTACTGTAATGCTTGCCTCTGTATAAGTGGCCAGGGAATATAGCTTGTGTAACTTCACCTCTAGTAGTTTCTGTTTTTGAAAGCCAAGCAGGCCTGATCTGCTGGTGCATGGCTGCCCCTAGGAATTATACACAATCCTATATTCATTGGTCAGGAAGTACAGTAGGCTAAACAAAGGGTGAAAAAAGAGTGGATACAAATGCAGAAACAGAAAAAAAAGGGCGCACCGACCTAGTGCATTATCGTTTAAAATAATTTATTAAAGAAACAAAAATAGGTATCATACTCACAATGGACATAATAACACAGGCATGTCAAACTGAACAAGGTGTATGATCCAAACAACATCTGAGTCCATACGATGGAACCCTGGATGACCAACTGGCTAACGCGTTTCGAGGACACAACCTCTTCCTCAGAGCCCAGGGCATAAATCTTCTCTGCATGGTGCCTAGCCCTGTTCCTGCTGTTGTACCTCCACAAGGCGGGGGTTAATATCTTAAGGTTTTCAAGCAGAACTGCATTTAAGATAGTGTGGTGGGGACCCATCTCTGATTGGGGAAGAGTCAGATGAATGACAGGATTGGCCCCCTAATCTCTCCCGAGTGATGAAACGCATAGGGGCAGGGCTTATCGGATGGTACTGGAGTAATATACTGAGACGAGTGATTGATCTCTGTAAATACCAGACTGTGAGCACTTGGCGGTGACGGTTTTTGTATTGAAAAGAAGGCATTACATTTTTGGTACTAAATGTGAGTTTTCTACTTGGCAATGTGTTAAATAAACCTTTTTAAGGGATAAAGCACCATTGTGCTGTCTGATAGTAAAAAAGGATTCCTATACACAGTGCCCAGGTGAGGAGACACCTGATGGAGGGGAAAAGAGTTTGAATTATGATCCTTTACTAAACGTATGTGGGGTATATTGCTTGTAAGTGGAAATCTGTAGTATTATATGATTTGATTTTGGTTAAGGATAACACACTATGCATTTCTCTTTGTATGTTGACTGAGTGGAAGATTAATTAAAAGGGACAGACCTACAGTCCTTATATTGGTAATTTTGAATAACCATTTATAAGGATACTAAATACTGGCAAAGAAAGGGGCCAGGTGAGGGAACATCTGGTGAAGGTGGCACGCATTGCACATATACCATTAAAGGTACTGATTAGAGATGAGCGAATTATTCAAAAATTCGATTCGGCTGATTCGGCGAATTCGCGGAATAAATTTTTGATTCGAGTCGAATATATTCGCTGCGAATTTAACATATAAAAAGGGTGTTTCTAGGCTTCAGAGAGCCTTTATATTAGTGCAGAACACTGTACCTTTAATTTAAATGCCCTTGGAGTCTGCTGGGGAAGAGAAATAATACTGTCAGTCAGTATGACATGCAGATGAGTGCCGTCGATCTTAGAATCACCGCACACTTCACTCATTTGGGCAGTCACGGGGCCAAAACCAGAGTGTGGAGCCACAGTGTGGCGGTGGAGGCAGCAGCAATGGGAGGCCATACAGCACCCTATGAAAAAATGGAACCCACCAGCAGTGTGAGGAGACCTGAAAGTGGCACATGGCAGAGTGTGGAGATGGAGACAGCAGCAATGGGAGGCCGTACAGGGACCCATGACACACTCTGGACCTGGCAGCAGCATGAGGAGGCGGTACAGGGGCCCATGACAGATTACGGGCCTGGCAGCAGCATGAGGAGTCGGTACGGGGGCCCATGGCAGATTACGGGCCTGGCAGCAGCAATGGGGGGCCCGTAATCTGCCAGCACCCTATGACAAAATGGAACCCACCAGCAGTGTGAGGAGACCTGAAAGTGGCACATGGCAGAGTGTGGCGATGGAGACAGCAGCAATGGGAGGCCGTACAGGGACCCATGACACACTCTGGACCTGGCAGCAGCATGAGGAGGCGGTACAGGGGCCCATGACAGATTACGGGCCTGGCAGCAGCATGAGGAGTCGGTACGGGGGCCCATGGCAGATTACGGGCCTGGCAGCAGCAATGGGAGGCCCGTAATCTGCCAGCACACTATGACAAAATGGAACCCACCAGCAGTGTGAGGAGACCTGAAAGTGGCACATGGCAGAGTGTGGCGATGGAGACAGCAGCAATGGGAGGCCGTACAGGGACCCATGACACACTCTGGACCTGGCAGCAGCATGAGGAGTCGGTACGGGGGCCCATGGCAGATTACGGGCCTGGCAGCAGCAATGGGAGGCCCGTAATCTGCCAGCACCCTATGACAAAATGGAACCCACCAGCAGTGTGAGGAGACCTGGAAGTGGCACATGGCAGAGTGTGGCGATGGAGACAGCAGCAATGGGAGGCCGTACAGGGACCCATGACACACTCTGGACCTGGCAGCAGCATGAGGAGGCGGTACAGGGGCCCATGACAGATTACGGGCCTGGCAGCAGCATGAGGAGTCGGGTCGGGGCCCATGGCAGATTACGGGCCTGGCAGCAGCAATGGGAGGCTGTACAGGGACCCATGACACACTCTGGAACTGGCAGCAGCATGAGGAGGCGGTACAGGGGCCCATGACAGATTACGGGCCTGGCAGCAGCATGAGGAGTCGGTACGGGGGCCCATGGCAGATTACGGGCCTGGCAGCAGCAATGGGAGGCCGTACAGGGACCCATGACACACTCTGGACCTGGCAGCAGCATGAGGAGGCGGTACAGGGGCCCATGACAGATTACAGGCCTGGCAGCAGCATGAGGAGTCGGTACGGGGGCCCATGGCAGATTACGGGCCTGGCAGCAGCAATGGGAGGCCCGTAATCTGCCAGCACCCTATGACAAAATGGAACCCACTAGCAGTGTGAGGAGACCTGAAAGTGGCACATGGCAGAGTGTGGCGATGGAGACAGCAGCAATGGGAGGCCGTACAGGGACCCATGACACACTCTGGACCTGGCAGCAGCATGAGAAGGCGGTACAGGGGCCCATGACAGATTACAGGCCTGGCAGCACCAGCAGTGTGAGGAGACCTGAAAGTGGCACATGGCAGAGTGTGGCGATGGAAGACAGCAGCAATGGGATGGCCGTACAGGGACCCATGACCACACCTCTGGACCTGGCAGCAGCATGAGAATCGGTACTGGGGCCCATGCAGATTATCGGCCTGGCAGCAGCAATGGAAGGCCCGTAAATCTCCCAG